CACACCAGCTGGTCTAGGAGCATATCGTCAAGCTCCCTAAATTCACAATGCAGTGCAGCCGTTCTCAAAGAGGCCATGTATTCATTAATAGACTCTCCTTCTCTCTGTGACCTCTGGTGAAACGCGTGTCGCCTGGCGATTTTCGAGGGAGCGGGAGAATAATGGTGTTTTAGCTTCTCCAGCAAGGTCTCCCAGGGCACTGTGAACACTGGCTGAGGGGCGGCCAGAACCTTGGCTGTCCCAAAAATCTCGCGGCCGTATGAGCTGAGGAAATAGCCCCTCTTCCGGGCACTTGACAAGTCAGTCAGATCGTTTGCTTGCAAGAAGCACTCGAATCTTTCGAGATAATGGTCCCAGGTCTCCGAAGCTGGTTCGAACGGGGTGAATGCCGGGAGACCAGTCGCCATTATGACTATTATTGTTAATCAAGCTCACTGCCTCAGCTCGGTCTGGGTCTTCGGCAACCGTCACCTCAGGACAATCCCACCTTCGTCGCCAGGCGTAAAGTCCGGTGTGCAGACAGGAACGGAGGCTTGGCTGCTCGGAACATTAACTTTATTTAAAACAACAACTTCAACAAGAAACCCGCGTAGCGGCAACAACAGAACGGCCTGTCTGACAGCTGCTTAAATAGCAAGCTGTCAAACAGCATGAACCAATGCACGAGCAGCGATCGAACCAATCGGCGACGGCTAGCAACATGGCCCGAGTGAGCGGAGTCGTAACTGTGAGGACTCAACAGTCTTATTTTCGGGGAAACAGGGTAGAACCCACTGAATACCACCACTGGCCACTCACTAGTGAATCATACTCCAGCATTATACTTGTATTGCATATGCAGTATGCAAAAGTGTACCATTCTCTTATTTCATTTCATTTTTGATCTTACAGTTGAAAGATCATTGAATTGAAAGTTATTGAATTTTTGATGAACAAATTGAAACATTTTGGTGTATTAGCAGGTTTTAAGATTAATAAACAGAAAATGAAGATGTTTTGATGAAGAAATCTTGTTTTAAACTTGAGAAAAGGGTTAAATATTGGGGGGTTACCTTCATACTAATATGAAGTATATGTTGTTTCAAAATAACAATACTAAAGTATAGAATGAACTTAAAAAAGATATTGAGATGGGAGAAGTTACAATTCATTCTTGGGAAGAATTTCTATGATTAAAATGAGTATTTTACCCAGAATGTTATTTCTATTCCAAATACCTGTATTGACAATTGGTTTTCCATTTAAGTAATTGCAAAACAATATTTATACATTTGTTTGGTAAGATAAGAAACTGAGAATTAAATTCTTGCAGAATTCTAAAGAAAGAGGGGGTTAACAGTATCAAATTTGAAATTGTATTTGGCAGCTTCTTAGTGTAAGAAGCTTACTTCTTACTTATGTATCTTTAGTATACGATAGCAGATAAATTGTCAAAAATGGGTAAGGGAATTTCAAACTTAATTTAATCAAAAGAGAGAACATTTCTTAAAAAAAAAACTTTAGTGAATATATAACAAAGGTAGAAAATATTGGGATGGAGAATGTATTTTGATGCAGAAGATTTTAAAAGTGAACGTTTAATTGAAACTAGAGGCCTTTTTTAAAATCTTAATGGACAAATAAAACATTTTATGGAACTTTGTTCTTATACATGATAACTGAATGAGACTTTTATATGGTCAAAGATGGAAGGTCTTACAAATACCTACATTGGAAGAATTTGGGATAAGCTGGTGGAATTGGCCTTGATGGTAAAATTGACAATCTTGATGAAAGAAATGACTTGGACATATTTTATTTTTACTTGGAAATAGTTTTATAAGAATGGAATTACATGAAAAGTTGATTTTGGGATTTGATTATTAGCATTATATGGGATTATTAAAATTATGTAGATATATGTTAGCTTCAGAGTAAGAGTTGAATGTATTCTTATGTCTATATCTATCTATACCAAGAAAGCTGGATGTCATTCTTTGTTACCTTTTGTTACTTTTGTCCTTTTTTCCTTTCTGCACTTATACTTTTATTCTTTTCTGAATCTTTTTCTTTGATCTTTTTTTTTTTTAAAAAAACTGTCTGTTGTCTACCTACCTACGTATGCTATCTATAAGACACTGATGGAAATATAGGCAATGACCTGTAATGGGAGATAGAAAACTTTCTAAGTTGATTCGTTAGTAGCATGAAGATCTTGCGGCAACAAAGTCTTGATTAATGAGGAATTTAATGTATGGGTTGGAAAGTCCCCATATGATTATGTCAAGAAGAAATAAATAACATTGAGGAAAATTTAGTATTATTACTTCCCTTGTGTAGTTAGTATTAATCACCGGTATAGTGAATTACCAGAAGAGATGTAGGTGATGATATTTTCTGAATGATGGCAACAGAGGAAATAAGTTAAGGCTGAGTCACATAAATGCTTACCCCAGTTCTAGTACAGGCTGCTGACTGTTTGTGGAAGGTAAGAATGCACATATTCTCTATTCCACACTCTTCTCTCCCTTTCCTTTTCCCTTTCTTTTTCTGCCTTGTGCCTTCAAGTCAATATTGATTCTTGGTGAATGCCTGGACTAGTCCCTATACCAGTGATGGTTAACCTTTTTGGTGCTGACTGCCAACGCACGTGTATGTGCACGAATGCATGTGTGTGTGTGTGAACCCCCCAAATGGAGTGCGAGCACCTCCATGCACGCGCCTTGCCCCCCGTGCCCTGTTTTGGCTTCCAGGTTGGCGCAGGAAGCTTTCCAGGCCCAAAACGGGGTGTATGGGGGCCTCATGCGGTGCCCCCACACCGTTTTGGCTTCCAGGTTGCTGCAGAAGGCTTTCCAGGCCCAAAATGGGTTTATGGGGGGGCACATGCACAAATCCCCATAGTGCAATGCGAGCACCCCCTCCACGTATGCGCAGCAGGGACCCGAAGACCACGTGGCTGGTGGGAAGCGCGTGCGTATGCACGGTGGAACTGAGCTGGGGTGACAGCTGGTGTGCCCGCAGAGAGGGCTCTGCGTGCCACCTGTGGCACGCGTGCTATAGGTTCACCATCCTGGCCCTACACTTTCTTCGTAAGATTTTCAGAAGTATTTTGCCACTGCCTTCCTAGGTCACCATATTATTACTGTCATTTTCTTTCATCAACCCATTCATCAACAGGTCTCATAGTGGCTACTGCTGGAACCAGAAGAAAAAGGTTCTATGGCAGATGTCACAGGGTCATCTTTACATATGACAGCCTTCATAGACATGATAGCCTTGGTGGCGCAGCAGACTAAGGCGCTGTTAAAGTAGCACCAGCTGCCTGCAATTACTGCAAGTTCAAATCTCACCAGGCTCAAGGTTGACTCAGCCTTCCATCCTTTCGAGGTAGGTAAAATGAGGACCCGGATTGTGGGGGCAATAGCTGACTTTGTATAAAAAAGAACACCGCTGGGGGGGGAGGGGGCGAAAGCCCTACTAAGCAGATATATACAAAAGTATGAAGGCTATTGCTTAATGCATTGTAAGCCGCCCTGAGTCTCCGGAGAAGGGTGGCATATAAATCGAACCAATAAATAAATAAATAAATAAATAAACGCAATGTTCCATAAACGCTGATATAAACTTGCTTCAATCTGAACTTTCTCTAAATTGTCTCTCCTGAAACTTCCTCTCCCGGGCCTTCTTTTCCAAATTTTGCCATTTTCTGGGGACAAACAGCAAAAGTAAGAGCCTTGGTAGTACAGGAGTTTAAGGCACCCTGTTATTAAGCTGGTTATTAAGACCAGCTGCCTGCAATTACTGCAGGGTTTGAATCTCGCCAAGGCTCAAGGTTGACTCAGCCTTCCATCCTTTCTAAGGTAGGTGAAATGAGGACCCAGTTTGTGGGGGCAATAAGCTGACTTTGTATAAATATACAAAAGAATGAAGGCTATTGCTTAGCGCATTGTAAGCCGCCCTGAGTCTTCGGAGAAGGGCGGCATATAAATCAAATTAAAAAAAAAAAGTGTGCAAGCCCAAACTTCCTCTCTTTTCCTTATTTTCTTGGACATTGCAGCAGAGAGGATTCGATCAGGGAGCTTAGAGGCAGAGCCCCAAACGCCTCAGTTCACCTCCCAGGACTGTGCAGTCACTATAAAGAGAAAGCAGCCACCTCATCCAGGCACCCTAAGCCTGAGTTTGTACAGCACACACAGGTCTAAAAATAACCAAGAGTGTGTTGTGTCATGTGAACTACAGCCTAAGGAGAAACCTAAATTGGCCATGGCAATGAGGAGCAGAGGAATGAATGAGTGAATAGAGAGGTGATAAAGATGCCACTTTCACTGGCTCCCCCATGGAAAGAAACCTCTGGTGTTTTCTTCCCAGCTGCCCCAACTTTGGAGCCCAACAGAATAAGGGGAGTAAAGAAAGAAAATTGAGGTAGGGGCCATCTCTGCCTTATTTGGCATACCCCGTTCCATGTGTGTGTCCCCCTTCCCGCCTCCTCACATCTCACCCCCCCCCCCAAACCAGGAGTGGCAAAGCTCAGAGGCTAATGCCAGCCTGATAAAGGGAAGGCGATGGGATGAACCTGCGGGCTTTTCTGGCAGGATTTGCCTCCTGCCCTTTTCCGGCTAAAAGAGCAAGAAAAAGGCGGGGAAAGGGCTTATTCCCCTCTCAGGTTACCCCCTCCTCAACCCAGAGCTGACATTCTTTCAAAATAAAAGCGACCGAGCGAACCCTTCTCTTTTGCCTCCCGCCGCCTCATCGCCTCATCGGAGCTGAGCTTTGGCAGCCTAACGGCCCCATATCCTCAGAGACCTCTGCCTCAGCCCCCCTCCCCACCCCCGCCACTCTCCGCAAGGGGAGACAGCCCGGGCTTTTGCCTGCCGCTCGTTTAGAGTTGCGCGCCGGGGTGGGTTGAAGTGGTGTGGGGGGGGAGGAGGAGGAGGAGGAGGAGGGCCTGCGAGGCGGCGGCGGCAGCGGCGGCGGGCGGGCGGCCGGGAGAGCGCGCGCTGGGCGCAAAGGAGCTGAGTGGACGGCTGGCGGGCGGATTGCAATAGCAGCATCCTCAAGAAGAGATACCATTGGCAGCAGCGGCGGCGGCGGCAGCAGCAGCTAGCTGCCTTCTCGGTCGCTGGAGTCGGTGGAATTTTCAGCAAGGTGATGGACCGCCTGGTTATCTGCCCCCCCCCTTTTTTTTTTAATTTTAAAGATAACTACTCTTCCCCTTCAAGGAAAAAATAAAACCCCACAACTCTTTTGTCGGAGGGAGGGAAAGCTTGCTCGCCGTCTCCCCCCCCGTTTGCTTCGCTTTCTCTAGACTAGCACCCCCCCCTTTCCTTCTCCCCCCCTCAACTGGCTCGGTTGGGGAGGGCCTCTCGCGGTGCGCCTAGGTTGCTTCTTTTTTTGGGGGGGCTAACCACCCCCTTTTTTTGTTTTTCTCGCCCCCCCCCCAGATGTTCAAGGTAGCAGCCTTCGCCTGCGTGTGGGCAGCCGCTTGGTGCAATCCAGCCGTGGCGGCGGCGGGGTCGATAGCTGCAGCGACGGCGACGGGTGCCGGAGGCAGGTCAGACAGCGGGAATTTCCTGGATGATAAGCAATGGCTTACGACCATCTCCCAATACGACAAGGAGGTCGGACAGTGGAACAAATTCCGAGACGTAAGTGTGAGCTGAGCAAGCCCCCCCTGGGGTTTCTGGGTGCTATTCGCTTTCTGCCTTTTTTTTTTTTTTTTTTTTGCCTTCCTGCCCCCAAGGCTGCTTACCTGCGTCCTGGCTGCAGGCGGGATTATCTTTCCGCGGGGAAGTTTTTCGGCTTTCTGTCCTTTATGAATCCAGCAGGGCTGCCCCCCCACCCCAACAACCACCCTTCGTCAATTCTGTATTGCAGCTTGAGTTTATTTTAGGACCAAAATTAGTCCTCCTATTAGGCGCCCCGTGCAGCGGCCAACTTTTCCCATTGCTCCCCAATGGGGAGTTTTGGAGTATTAAAAGAAGGTTTGGAGTATTAAAATAAGAGGGGGGGAAAGTGATTCTGTTTTATATTTGTTTTACATCGGAGTTGCAAAAGTGCATCGTCTCCCTCCCTTCCCCCCCCCAACTCCCACCCCCCAATCTTTCTCTAGGTAATGTATCAAGAAGGCAGTCTTCTTTTTTAATGATAAATGTAAATAAAGATTATTTTTTTAAAAAGAAGGCAGGCATCGATCTTATGGCTTCATGGAATCTTTAAAAAAAGGGGGGGGATGAAAAGAGACAATGCTACTTTGGAGGACTTCGAATGTCCACGAATGAATAAAAAAAAACCTTGATTGATGATGATGATGTGTTAAATAGCACCGAGGAAAAGGGGGAGAGGGAGGAAAGAAGATACCCCATCCTTTTGGATGCTTGTGAAAATCGTACTGTATAATAAAAGCCATATATTGCATTTCAGAGGTCCAGGGAATGGAAACAATGCTGCAAAAAAAAAAAAAAAAAGTGGGGGGGATGAAAAAAAAAGAGTATTCAGCATGCTACAAAAAACAACAACAACAACAAAAAAAAAACCATCACCACCAAGCAAAAATAGGTTTTCAGGGTGGAAAATAAGGTGTTTTTTCCCCTTCATTAGTCTAGAAAGAGTGGATAGAAAAACATTGTAACCCCTTTTGATGGAAATGAGTTAAGCTTTTTGAGTCTGCCTGTTTGCCATGTTCTGTCATGGTATATATATAGATATATATATATAATAATTGGTAACTGACCGGTTTTCTACTGCCATAGGACTCCGTGTTTAAATGTTCGGCCTCATGGGAAAAAAGTAAGGAAAGTTGAAAGCAGCATCATGCATGCATGCATGCAACAGGGTTACAGCTGATGCAAAGCAATCACTGTGTCTTTTCTTTCCCTGTTTCTAATTTGGCCTGTTTAGAAGGGTCAAAGCCAAGAAGTTCACTCAGTGTGTAAAATGCTTCTCAATGAATGACAGAATTGAGATGGGATGCAAAACTGTTGTGAATTGGAAAGCACCCGTAAGCCATTTTCTATCTGCTTGCTTCATCTATTTTTAATTAGGCATATTAAGTACACTGTATTGTATACTTTTAAAGCGTTCAGAACAATGCAGCTACTGAAAAGAAAAGAAAGTGTTTCCCCATTTTTTATACTAGATTAAAACAGGTTAAATTACTAGCTTCTGAACCATTGAAATGCTTGCTTGAAGGTTTATATTGAAGGCATAACTTGACTTGTGCAGCCTGAGCTAAACGTGTTTAATTGGAATTAATCATTCATTGAAATGTATGCCTACAGATGTTTGCAACCAGACTGAATACATCCTGGGAAGAAAATAATACTTATTGTAGTAGCACTTTATTCTGACTGAATTGTATGCCCTGTGTTGTTTAGAAAATAGTTCTTTGGAAGGAATTGGTGTTTCTATTTTTCTCTTTTAAAAATACCTGTCCAAAGCCCTAAGTCTTTATAGTTTTTTCTAAACTGTACTTGGAGAAGAAGCTTGCTACTTGTATTATTTATATTTACTATGAATAATAATGATGCATTCACAAAATGATTAATGTACTTTCTTGTTGAATAGCTTGAAGATGTAGAAATTCCATACCCTAGTGCACACTGATGGTAATTTCTGCCCTTGAGACACTAATATTTTCCTAAGAGAGTTTGCTCACATTCCTTGAAATCTCCATATTGGACTCCCTTGGCATTTTGGTTGATGTTTCTGAATCCACCAGCCAGCACTTTGGTTTCTGCTCCATAGATTGTCAGGAGCTCAAGACTGCATCAATTCAGAATCTTTGTTTTGCTTTGTTTTCTCTCACAAACTGAGAGAAGTTTGTGTTGGCTTTTGACAAATCCTGGTAGCTACAAAAATGGCAAAAGATATTATTTGATGAAAGAGAATATGAGAAATAGGGATCTGTTCATGGTGATGGGGATAAACCGAGGCAATAACATAGTATCTCAAGTTTATAGTCATGGAAAATGGTGTGCATTTTGTAGAAATAATTTTTCTAGCCATTTGTTTTAGTTGTTTAGTTGCAGAATGTGAAATATTAATTGGAAACCTGCTTTGCTACAGTGTGTGTCCTTTACTTATTAATTTCTAGGACTGTCACTTTGATTTTCTGCTTGCTACCAGGAGAGACCGTGAATTCAGTGGAAAAGGCTTCTGAGCACCAAATTAGTAGATTGGTGTTTGTTATCAGTGTTTTCCTTAATCTGTTTTTTTTAAAGATGTTCAAATGGATTTTGTTACTTAGTCTGTCATGTAATGAGTACATATTTCCTGTTTTGAGTGTTAATTGAGTGCATTGATTGTCACCCCCAGGCATCACAAACTTTGTGATAGTTTGCACTTATTTCTATTGGATAAAAGTGGGATTTTAATCCATAGCACTCTCTTAAAAAATAATACTATTGTTCATAAATTACAAATGTTAGCAAACACTGATCTACCATATTTTTTACAGATAATTAAAAAAGAATGGTTTGTACTTCTTAAGATGATAATACTTTGGCACTAAGCATTCTTATTTATGAAAAGAAATTATATGGTTAAGATAGTGGCAAATTCCTTCAATAGTTTTATCAATGTCTGGACAACAACCATAGCTGAACATAATGAGTAAACATAATATGAAAACTCAGTTAAGATACTTTTTTAAAGTATACTTTTGGGAACTCTGAAGTTACATGCTTTCCATTCTGTTTATTCTGAGCTGATGTTTTTGTATGGAAAACCAGAGCAATTGGCCAAAGAGAGATTGATGTGTATATAAACTTTAATAGCATATAAATGGTGTACTAACCCTATTCAAAGGTTTTAAAGTTGATGTGAATGAGGCTGCAGCCTGAAATCAAACACTGTCTAATTTACAAACGTTGGATGTTATAGTGGAGAATTAGAATGAACTTGATGTTTCACCATAAGTGTACACAAACATTACTTTAGGGTGGGGTTTGGTGATTTTTTTGCCTTATGTCATGAGAATTATGCGTTCACTCAGGTGTTAGGCTGTTTTGCTTCTAAATGTGTATGTAATCATGTTTCTTGTATGATGATTGCTAATATCATCCTTATAATAGAAAATCTTGAAGATATCTGATTTTTATTTTTTTTTAAAAAAAAAGTACTGGAGGAAACTTCTTCCAACTTTTGTTTAAAAAATCCTTTTAACTGCTTAAATTATTTAACTGGAATTAGCTATAGACTTACTGTAGACTTTTACTTGAAATTAAGCCCAGCTAATGTCAGTGCAGCATAAATCTGGTTTGGAATGGCTAATATGATGTTCTGTAAATATTTTAATAACTTTCTGTGACAGTCATTCAGTAAAAAGTTAGAATAACTGTTTTTGAACTGCATTAGGTCAATAAATGAGTAAACACTTATTCTAATGATATTAACTCATCTTCTGATAAAAGCTTAAATCTATCAATTGTAGAAACAAATATACCAGAGTACTTTATTACTATATTAACCTATAACAAATTGATTGTTTGGTTATGTGCTATCAAGTTGGCATCAACTCTTAAGCATCTACATAGATTTCCTCCTTGATGGGTCCCCAAACTATGTTTTTACCACTATTAACTTCCCCATCCAAATTCAACAGGTATAGTTTGATATATCACTTCTTTAATTTCTCATTATCATGCAGTTGTTAAAGACATTGATCCCACATCAGAAAAAAAATTAACGGTCTTATTTATACTTACTAATATCTGGATTTATTGCAAATGTTGTCTTTAAAAAACATTTAAGTAGGAAAATATGATTGTTTCAGCAGTAAGAAATGGTGATTGTCAGTATGACTAATTCAGCCTTTCTACCACTTTGTGGCTTGCAGATGTGTTCTGCTTCAACTTTTGGCCCTTTCTGGTTGCAAATTTCTGACCTTAGCAATGTAATATTTCTGAGGTGCCTCCAATGGGAGAGACCACACTAATTTAAAAGGGTTATTTTGGAAATGATTTAAATTCTGCCTCTAATAGCAGTTAAAATTTGAAATGTTATTTTCCCTATTAAATTGTTTTTCCTGCTTTATATTGTTGTATCCTGCTTATGCAGTTTAACTTCATTCAAGTGCAGTGATTATTTAGGTTTTCTTACATAGTGTTAAATTGTATTTCAAGCATGCTTTTTGTAAAATAAAGGAAAAGCCTTTGACAAGTTCTTCTAATGTGAAAAGCAGTATTTAAAGGCTTAACTCAGGAATTAACTGACAAGATTGATTTATGTATCACATAATGACCCCAACTTCTGGCTCATTGACTCAGCTTTCCAAAAGTGATTTAGAACACAATAGAAGGGAATTGAGAGCAGTTCAGTAATAACTATTCATAACCTTAGCTTATTTAAGATTTGTTGTACCTTTTCCTGGTTTATTAGATTGGCACTGGATTTCCTAGTTGAATAATTAATATTATATCCACTAAAACAAGTTCATTCCAAAGAATATTGTGTAAAACCTGTTTGAATGTTTATTTTCACTTTTATGGAAGTGGTTTAACACTCTTGACATAAAACTTGTCTTACAGAAAAACAGACGAAAGTATAGGATTTAAAGGATATATTTTGTAGGGCTGCACAACTTCTAACGATTATTGCTTTCTTGAGAAAAGATGGAGCAAGGCATCTCTTTAAAGCTAAAGTATTA